TACCAAATATTATAAAGTATATTTCATGATCCTTTTCGTACTTTGTTAAATATTTTACAATGTCACTGACGTGAACTTGTTGGTAATTGCGCTATTGTCTACGTACTACGCAGTCAGAAAGATATATACGTTCTATGACAAAAATATAAATAAAATCCATCTTCCTCCTTATGCCATCTTTTCCCAATTTATCTTAAGTTTCTTGTATTCTGGCATAACTGAAAAAAATTCAATGATCGATTTTTTGTAATTACATCTTCGCATTTGTGACGTGCCACCAAAATATTAGTCATTCGAAAGTATGTCTCGAGGAAGGTTTGGCACGATCGCGCTTGTATTTATCAAATGAAGCGTTTATTGCATGAGCACTGCCTTCTTTCACCAAATGCTCGTTATTCTGAACTTTCCGTTAACTAATGCTGATTCTGATTCTGATAAACTTTCGCGACACATTTGGATAGGTATTAGAAATCTGATAGTGGTATCGCCGACCAAATCGTCCGATTTTCGCGCCTGCGAGAGGACCGTCATTTATCCTTTTTCCATTTTCACGCTTTTAAGTTTTTGCAAAGACAAACGCAAATAATGTCCCAGTTCGCGAAGAAAAAAGGACAATGGTAACGCGTATTTTCTATCCTATAATATCCGCAGATAAGTGTTATTATCACACTTAAATTGTAATGAATCCTCGCCTCGAGTTACTTCATATAATTAAGCATGAAAGAAAATTTCTTTCTTTCTCTTTTTCTATTGTATGGTATGGTCCGCGTTCTCTTTTTTCAATCTTCGTTTCTCTTCCTCTATTTCGCTCAATTGCATATCTGTTTCATTTCGTGCGAGGAAAGCGAAATACGATAAAAGTGAACAGCAGACTCGAGGGCCACGAACGAGCAGCTTTTAATTTTGTTTATCAATCCACGGAATCGGAAACGCGATTTGGTAGTTAAATCGCACGTTCAATTCAAATCTCGCTACGCGGCAACAACTCGGACAAATCCGAAGACACGCAAGATAGGACAAATCGAGGCCATTTACCAGCAGGAAATAATCAGTCAGATACACATACATTACGTTGTACGGAACCTTGCATTTGCAATAATATTGCGCATGTCACGCACAAGCAGCACGGCGCCTCGCCCTTCCGTCTCGTCTCATTTTGTCGAATCCGATGCGACACAATGATCCGCGAACGGTATCTACGATGAACAGTATACGATATTTTATCATATGTATCTTCCTCTATGCGGCTAATATCGACATGTCTCGCTCAATTAAAACATAATCCGTTATGTTTCATTTTCAAAGGAAAAAAAGAAAAAAGGAAAAAACAGAATAATGCCCGTTTTCAACAATGTAGTTAAATTTTTATTTTTATTCAACTATTTATCTTTTCCTAGTTATAAGAATTAGAAGTATGTATATAAATGTATAAAAGGTTTAGAAGTCAATGCGGCCCTGGCGGAAAAGTTTTACGAAAAACTACATAAATTGAGACAAGATTTTAGAAATTATTAATTGTTTGTAGATATTCGTACTGAGACGTAGAATGATGTTGTTTCTTTAAAAAACCTAGAAATCCTCCGCCTTCAAGCGACGCCATTCTATGTCTCACTACGAATATCTACGAAAAACTAAGAATCTCTAAGACAAACAATCCTCACTCTATGTCGCACTACGAATATCTATGAAAAATTAAGAATTTCTAAGATTTTGTCTCAATTTAGGTTTTCTGTAAAAATATTTTTTTCCGCAAGGGGGAGACAGAGCGCTAAAATTCATTGAATTATAAGAAGTTTCTTATAATTCAATGAATCTTAATTCTCTTCGTCGCTTATCACAATACGTACGTTTTGACTCAGCTTCGAGCCATCTTCAGCGTAAAATAATCCACATATTAAAAAATTGTAATTATTTATATTAAATCAATGCTGCTACCGCAATTACTCTTAATTCTATTGTCATCTGGTCAGCCAGTTGTCGGAGGAAAAGACATGTAGTCCAGCTTTAGTACACTATAAGCATTAAAAGAAGATGAAAAATAACGCGTTGTTAATCATATGTGCTCGTGTTTTCTCGATGATGACCGCGAATTTATAATAGAATTTTATCATTATCAATTATGGAGTTTTATTATATCTCCGGAATTACTTTCTCATCGTGAAGATTTATCTCTGTTACGTGTTCTGTTACGTGTTTTGTTCCTCGTTTTTACAGGAGTGATTCATTTACACACTGTTGCAATTGCCCGCTGCCAATCACAGCGACTTCTGCATAGGAAGCTTTTTTTATTTTTTTTCATTTTATGATTGGCTTTTGTGCAACTGACTCGCGTGCAATTGATGTATACCCCACTCTTATGAGGAATGTCGTACATCCGTTTTCACAACAAGTATCGTTTCTGCTTAGCACGCGAAGGCTTTTTCGGATATCGCTTGCCACGAGGTTCATAAAATCAGTTTTACATACGAAAGCGATCCTCTTTTGCGATATATGCACCTGTATTCATGTCCTCGAGTCATAAATATAATAAAAGATTCCTGTGTCAAATTCAAATTTTAATGAAATTATTTAGGGGAAATTATGCGCAGCGAGTAATTGTGCGCATCCTGGTGAGGAGGAGGGGGAAGGGGTTGATACTTTTCCAATAGATGAAGATATCACCGTGGTGGAATTTTTACGCAGGAAATCGTAAAACTTAATATATTAGATGTAGTAAAAAGAAATCCATTATTTTCCCAATAGGTGGCTTTAGTAATCTGTATCTTGCAATGCGAGATTCCATTATTTTTCTATTGGAAAAATAATGGATTTCTTTTTACTACACCTAATAATTACAAAAGATACGACATAAATACATTGCTAGCTAGAGAAATACAAAAAAAGTGAAATCACATCTTTTCTTGTTATTTTAGCTTTCAGAAAATAAAGTAATAAGTTCGAATTTTTAATTTTTTTTTTGTTTATTTAAAGTTGCATACGTTATTAAAATATGTTATTATGTGCATTTTTTAAGCTGTTATTTATTAAGTTTAGTTAGAAATTGTTGAAGTAATCGTATTTCGTACGTCAGATCGCGGCGGGCAACTGTGCGCAAGTGTTTTGAAATGCACACAATTATACATCTTCCATATACTGTATGACTAGCACTAATTTTTTCTTTCTTCTTGACATTACTATTTTATTTTACCATTGCATTTTGCCAAAGTCTATGTGCATTATTATTATATTAGGTGTAGTAAAAATAATGGATTTCTTTTTACTACACTTAATATTAGTTCTGTATTTTTTCTTAATATATACAATATATATTTCAAATATATTTAATATATATTTATATTGCAATATAATGAATATATCTTGTGATTTCTTTGTCACATTCCATAATTCATTCATTCATTTCTTAAAACTTTTGTTTTGCCTATAATTATCTAACACATGCGCACAACCCGACGTGCGAGAAATTTTTTTCACTTTTTCGTTTTTTCCTTTTGGTTAAATACAACCTTATTGAATGAAAATCTGTTCGATATGAGGATATGTAATGATAGAAGAATGTTTATAGTTTCTATTTCCATACTTATATCGTTTAAAACTTGGAAAACCATTTCAATAAATTTTTCTTAGATACGAACAGTTCCCCCATTTTCCCCTATAGCTTACTTTTATATATAATTTAGAAAATATCAGTTTCTTGGGATAAATAAATTATTTTAAAGATAAAATTATCCTTTATATGTTTTTAGTTTTTTTCATTAGTTACATCTTAAAAACTATTCGAAATGTAAAAAAACGAATATAAAAGTTTTATAATAAAATTATTTCTATATATGTCAACAATATTTTTAAAAAATAATTTTAAAAATATAAATTTGGAAAAATTATTTTTGAAAATATTATAGATAAATAGAGATAATTTCATTATAAAACTTTTGTATTAAACATTGTTTGATATTTTGAATAATTTTGAGATACAATGAAAAAAATTAAGCACTGTTTTACATAAAAGGAGTAATTTATCCTCTAAATTATTTATTTGGCTTTAATATTTTTTAAATTCGTCTATGTATCATTTATATAAGGTATATACAAAATTTTATAATATTAAAATCAAAATTTGACACTTTCCTTATAAGTAGTCGACATATTTCCGATAATCATGCAATGAATAACTTTGAGCGTAAAGTACCTAATACGCGATGTTTCGAGTGCCGGGAAAAATTATAAATAATGCATGGCCATAATCTCAACACAATTCACCAGCGATATATAGTATCGTAAGTTCCGAAAATGGCTTAATGAAGTATTTTATGAATGCTATTAGTGTGAAAATTATTGCGTTTCGTACACTATTAATAATTTACAATCGAAAAAATCCTTGCATTGATAGCACTTGTAAAATGCACTTCATCATGCCACTTTCAGAACAACTCGCGACTATGCGACGCCAGCGAATTGAAATTGCAGCGAACGCATGCTTTCATATATCGGCGGTTTCACATGAATAAATAAATAAATAAATATATGTACATATATATGTATACCTACATAATATCTAATTCCTAAAATAATGCGAAGCTATACAAATCTCGGTCAGTCTTCTTTTTAGCGAATTTCATTTAGCGCGTACACTCTAAAAAATAGGAGTGAACTTAACACCGTGCGGTATCTATATAATTTTCACTGTGTTGGTCTTAAAATAATACCAACATGGTGTGAATTTAAGACCATGAGTTTTAAATCTACACATTCATAATGTTAAATCCATATCATGATGTTGATATAATCATCAGAGTTTTAAATCCATACCGACATTTTTTTTAGTGTATATGAAATCACACTGAAATCATGCTCCACTCCTTCCTTCCTCCCTCTCTCTTATTCTGTTTCTCTTTCTTTCTTATAGTATCTTGTCGCATCGCATATCGTAGTTCCATATCAAAATATCGAAGTCATATCATAGGCGCCGGACGTATCGCGCAACCATCGCCGATTGTACCTACCTTTTGCGAGATGAAAACGGCAGCAGTAACGAAGGACAAGGGTCGTACTTAGTCGTCAGTAGGTAAGTTTCCGTACGACTTCCGCGCGAGCCGAGATTCTAATTTCCAATGAGGATTTTTCCTCTTCTCTGCCTCTCTCACTCTCTCTCTTTCTCTCTCTCTCTCTCTCTCTCTCTCTTCTCTCTGTCTCTCTTTCTTTCTTTCTTTCTTTCCTTTTTACGTGAGCGATGCCGCGAAAATGCTCGCGCGGCACACCGGGGGTCACGGAAATTACGACGAAGCGCACGAATTTTCGAAGCGACACTCGACGTAACACGTCGACCGGCGTGAACTCGATCGAGAGAAGGGAGAGTGGGAAAAAAGAGACGAAGGCGTCGTCGACGCCTGTCGTCGCCGCGTCCTTGGCGCGGCACGTCGCGTTGTGGCGTTGCGTGGCACGATGCGGCGTAACGTAACGCCTCCAGCCAGCTTCCACGGCGAACTGTCTGCGTCTGCACTGGACTGCACCGGCTGATAACTGACACATTGACGGAATCGTAGTCAAGAACCGTCACTCGCCTACGGATGTCGCGCGTACTTCGTTGGAAAATAAAAATATACAGTCCACCGCGCACTAACGCCCTCTCGTGAAACGCCGCGGCCGGAATAGGAAACAGCAAGCCAAAACTTGGCTTGGCGTTGACTGTAGAACGCTTTCCAATAAATAATTCGGTACAACACAACGATCTCATTCTTGTTTAACATTGGCGAACAACAAGAATGTAATGATTCGCTGTGTTACACCGTGACATGTGTTTCTTGTTGGAAAACATCCGTAAATTATAGTAGATAACAAACGATTTTAGGACGACTCAACCTAACTCCGATTAACTTGATCAGCAATTGATTCAACCGGCAGAATCGTTTGAAGCAATATTTCCAGCTATATAATTTATTGTTACAATATTTCTTCATATTTTTTCATGTCAAATAATAAAAAATTAATAATTCTTTGTCATTGTTAACAATAGTGTCAGTATTACTTATGATAAATTAATTAGGATTTAGTCAGTCATCTTTAATCATAGGATGGTAACAATTTAAACATTGGCTGCGTTCAGCGGACTCAACAATTGAGTGAGCGCTTATTGCTGTTGATGTATTTTTTCAGATCTAAAATGCTGATCAGATGATCTAAAAGAATACACCAATAACAGCGAGCGCTCATTCAACTGTTGAGTCCGCTGAACGCAGCCATTGGTCATTGCGAGGAATATCGCCGAAGCTTCAGTCATCGAATGATGAGAACGCTTACAACCTGCTCGATATATGAAAGATTTGAGATCCTTGGGTTGAGGTAACTCAGTTAACACTAATCATTCTTGAAAGATTCAGTTTATATTTCAATGTGCCGAATATTCCGGAACAATAAGAATTTTCACAGAATGTTCACATATCAATGAATGTTAAGAATAATGTATAAATTATTATACATTATTTATTATTTATTATATATATTACTAAAATTACTCATCCACGAGCAGTACACATTTCTGCCGACAGTAGGCTACGTCAGAGATGCATTGTCTCATAAGTAGAATCACTTGGAAAAGAAAATTAAATTTCTTTTTATTTCTAAGTGGCAAAATTGCCAATAAAAATTTTTTTGCGGAAAGTTGTTTGAAATACCGTATAACGAAATATATAATACTAAAAGTCCTGACCGCGTGGGTGTACTTGGAAAACTTTCCCACTTCAAAAAACTAGCCAAAAATACAATTTTTCAAAAACATCTCTGAATTTTTATTTTATTTCATTTTAAAAATATCTCTGAATTTTGATTGATTTTATCAAAATAAACTCATAAAAAAAAACTTGACAAAATTACGAATAATTTCGTTTCTTTTAAGGTTGTATCTTCAATATTTTCTGTGATAGAATTTTTTTAAGGATGTTATATTTTTTGTCACTTCGAGAATGAAACAATTTTTTCATAAATATCTCGAATCCGGCTACTTTTACGTACACAATACTTTTTATAAAAATTATTAAGATTACTATATATATAAATTCGCTATAAAATAATTTTTCATTCATCCTTGTACGATTAATAATTTCCACAATATAATTTTAAGATCATTTTCTTTTATTTTTGCACAAAAATTTATTTCTTAACGTTTTAAATATTTTGGATACGGCTATTCCTACATAAAAAACATCCTTGTGATCAAATTGAAGATTTTTAAATTCCCTACAAATTTTATTGAATATCATACAATGAATAGTTGCCGAAATATAAATAAATTTTCACACATTTGATATATTTAAAAAAATAATTTGTATATAGCTTATCATATATAAAAAATATACATAAACAATTTTAAAGCTTATAAAATTTTTTAACCTTATATGTCTAACAGTTCCCGAGAGATGGTGTTTCAAAGATATTAGGAGACTCTCATTGACAATTTACATTAAAACATGAATTTATTTTATTTATCAATATAAGTACGTAATCAAATTGGAAAAAATAATATTTGTATTTATCTAAAAGTATATGTATTTATGTAATGTATTATATGTATTTATGCAAGATTCTAGTTCCACATCACTCCCCATAATTTAAGAAATGTCTTTTTTTTGACATTTTTTTTTTAATATGTTCTTCATTACTTTGTTATAAATATCTCAATTTCTATTGGATTTGCATAAAAAATATAGTATACCAAAAATTAAAGCTTATAAAATTTCCTATAAAATTTCCTATGAAATTTTTTTTTCCATCTTTTATTGCCAATGTTTGTGTTATGTGAAAAAAGTTTTTTGTGATGATTTTAGGACTGAAAATTATGATTCATAATTTGTATACAAACGGTATATTCGTAAAAATTAGGATAATGACACTTTCTGAGCTTATAATAAATATTAAATGATATTTTCTTTTTAAATCATATTTTTAGGACCAATACTCTGCTAAAAATTCCAATTATGTCTAGATAAAAAGTATATACGTTCACATTAGGATAGACATAGACAAATCAGTCTTCAACTGACATAAAATTCATCCAAGTAAATATTAAATCTGGTTATATAAGCATTTCCATTTCATAGTACAGTAGTTGGATTCTCAGATAACTCAGACAGCACATGATATCATACTAACATTCAATATTCATATTGAATGTACTGTGATTATACCGAATAAACCAGAAATGTTAATATGACGTCTCAATAAAATATTATTTCTTGTATATTGTTAAGATATATCAAATATAATAATTAAACTTCGATTCTGATGCTGAATATACTGCTATCATATCGATTATACCCAAGACGTTTCTAAATTATTCTTGCGGTATATCTCGTGTACATCTGTCATATATTTTCAGAACAAACTCACAACATAAAATGCAGAACCAACGCTGCTTGCATTTCATTTCTATAAGCATTGCACTTATAATCCAGAAAAAATCTTCCATTTTTTCTATGGTTATCTTTTCTATAGTAATAGTTTATTATTATAGAAATTATTTTTTTCAAAATTCATATCTCATGACAATGTTGATAAAAAAAATTTGGGAAAAATCATGGCAGCTTCTTCCGATGAATACTATAAAATTTCAGCCAAATCAAAAATCCAAAAGTTCACGGGTAGCACACTTGAGATGGAATGCCCCCATATATATATATTAGGTGTTGGAATTAATTCGTAGCGTTTTCACCTAATATATATATATGTATGTATGTATGTGTGCATATGCATGCATACATGATATACTAGAGATATCGCTATAATAACGTAGATATTGCACTGACAGAAAAGTATATCATATTTGTAACTATAATTGCATGGTAAAATAATTATGATTAGGAGCATCATTTTTATAGTTATTATTGCTATAATGTTAGTAACAATAATCTTATACATATAATTCTATCAAACCGGACAAAAATTATAAATTATAATAATTAAAATATTAACATAGTAAAATATGAAAATACGTATGGTAAATAAAATAACCATTTTTATATGATAATTGCAATCATAATTATAATGAATATAACCATTTTTTCAACATTCGCTTATTATATACATGTGGTAATAATAAAAATATAATTTCAAAAATGGAAAAATCATTCATTTTCAATTAGTGTATGTGACTATATTAATAGCACATTTGATTGTACTTCAATTACAAATTTACTATACGTATTATAAAAACTAAAAAAAAAATAATTGTAAAAATAATTATTTGCATTAAATGTTTGGCAATACTATAATATATTTGACCACATTTACATAAATAATAATTTAACATTTTCCTTAAAAAAAAAACTGCAAGAATAAGAATTATATGACAGTCAAAGCCGGTCACATTTATACTCAAAAATAAAACATGCAACATTCAAATCGCAGCAAGATGAAACATGCTCGCCACGATCTTTCGAGACTGAGGATAATCGCATTACTATTTCCTAACTAAATTAATAAATACCAGCGTATTATTTTGTTTCCATGTAATCTTCTCAAATATTAATAATATTAAACTATCAGCAAAGGCATGAAATTAAAAATTGAGTAGGAAGTATAAGTAACATTGGCAGTGACTGGATCACAAGCGTGCGATTAGCTCAGCGTAAATGTATTAGGCTACCGTTCCAGGGATCGTAGGTTCAAATCTCCCTGATGCATTGCGTTTTTCAATAATTTAGTTGCAATAAGACAGAATATAGGTATGCAAAATAGAAAATAATAAATTGAATTGGAAAAATTCAAAAGTAATAATAACAAAAAAATTATTTTTTTCGTCAAGATATAATTCTGTAATCTTTTTGTTACATAAAAGGAATTGTTTGGTCAAAATTACCAATTATTTCGTTTAAAACTATTAATAATATGTTTATCATATGATTTCGTAATAATCTAATTTTGCTACCAATTTTTAAATTTTGTAATATATGATTCTACGTACTTTTAACCATTTTTTTCTCTCAGTGTGTAGAGACTGGAGATATAGTGAAGACATACTCATACATTTTAGAATAACTACGATCACTAGAAGCTTCCTGCGAAAGTCTGCCAGAAGATAAGAAATCGCGGACATAGTAGATTCTAAAGAAATATTCTGTACCTCACAGATGCGTTTCGAATATCTTGACGACATACGTTTGCGATATCGTTCTAATATTGTCAGAACGTAGATGGCTGACTAAAAATGTTATCTATTGACATCTGCAATTCCAACGTTAGGACATGCAAGGAATTTTCGACATAAACTATTGGTTTTTATCAAGAAATAACATAATCCGGTTATATATATATAAGTATTTCTATGTTTAAATTAGTGGTGAATTATTATAGGTTTCCCAATAAAAAATTGATCTATAATTGCATGGAAATTTGTAATCAATTAAAAACAGATAATAAACAGAATTCCAGAGACCAATATGTATAAGTGTGTATATAAGTACAGTGCTAATAGACATCTGATGTCATATGCAAATTCCGTATTATTTATACACAGTTAAATTCGAAAAAAAATCTTTTTTCGACAGCGGGTTTAAACTGGCGAGCCATTGTACGCTTTC